TTTTTATATTTTACACAATATATATTTTGATACCAGTTGATTTCGTGCACTTAGTCACCCATTAAAAATTACAATTCTATATGAATAATATGTTTTATAAAATCAAATGAGTTTAAGAATTTAATTTGATAAATGATAACTTCGTCTTTATTCATTATAGAGTCGATGAATTCATTGAGTTTGATTTTTTACTATCATTCYATCCTACATGAAAAACATGATAATTACAAAAATGCATACTACCTATATAGAGGACATTTTTAAATCAACATAATATTTCTGTATAAACTATATGTCCTATATAAACCGTTATTATGTAATTATTTTGTGGTTTTGACGTTAAAGTAAGTATGAAACACTTTAATAACACGTGACTTTTGCAATAAATATTTCTTTAAAAAAAGAGACTTTTATAACAAATGATTTTTATGAGACTTCATTTTAAGAGACTCAACTTTATAATACACGTATTTCAAACACTTGAGTTGTTTTCAGAATATAGAGTTTATTTATGTGTTTTATGTTTTTTGCATTAGAATTTAAGTAGTTCATTTCAGAATTAGATGAGTAGCCAACCCTGTTATAATAAATTAAGTTATATATATATATATATATAAATACAAAATGTTATGATATTATTAAAGCTATATTTATGGTAATCTATAAGAAATAATGATTTAACTATTTTATATTATCTTGAAAAATCATTATAATTGGCTAKAAATCTCTAAATAWATACTCTCTTAAGATAAAGATTTGAGTGATAAGCTGTTTTAGTACTAGTCATCTAATATAATATTATGTGTGTATTCATCGATGTAACGAATTATTATTCTATACTTTAGGAGTGATGGGACTGATATGGTACGTATTTTGGCTGTGGCTATGCTTTGAGAAGCCAAGTCTCCATCCCACCATATCGGCCAGAGAGTTGAACTACATTGAATCGTCTTTGGGTGCCGCTAAACAGTCTGCCGCGCCGACAATCCTCAATACGCCCTGGAAAGAATTTTTCACCTCTATGCCCGTGTACGCCATCATAGTCGCCAACTTCTGCCGATCGTGGAACTTTTATCTTCTCGTACTGTTCCAGGCATCGTACYTGCACTCGTTCAACTTCGAAGTGTCTGCAGTGAGTTATGCACATTATTTATCTCATATTATACATGTATACAAAATGATCCATTAAGCCGTAATCATACACTTTTATTCTTCAATAATGCAGTTATTCAAAATCCGATTTTTGGAATATTTAAATATACCTACTTATGTTATTGCAGACCTCATTTAGTCTTTTATAAATTATATTTTGAATTAACGAAAAACATTTCGAAAACAATTCCATGCCCAATTTTACTTACGGAATTAAATGATAAAAACCACGCGTATCAGCACTGGACAGTCTATTTTAAATTTTCACGGGTTATTATGCACATTTTTACATTTTCATCTTCATTTTTAATTATGGACATCTTCGTTTGGCAATGCGTTTTTGTTTTAAGAGTTTTTAAAGTTTATGATTTTTGCAGTATAACGTTATTGATGGTTTTATTTTTTTTTTTAAATGACATATTATGAACGGCGCAATGTATAGRCAATATAGGTACATACCGGCGTCTAGCGYCGATACCATATTTTCAAAACTTTCTTTATGAATAACATTATTTTATCTTCCWTACAAGTATTACTAAAATAACTGATTTTAAACTGATGTGAAATGTCTGAGAAAAAAAATATATCTTTGAAAATAGTATAAATATTAATAAATTAATAATATAATAATTGCTAATATTAAATAAATCAATTATGGAAATTATTAATTATTTATATATACATAGACAAATATTAAATTATTCATTTTTTTTTTCAAGCTCAAATAAATGATATTTTTTACCATTTGAGAATGCTTATTTAACAATTTGTCAACATCYGACCGKGAGATTAATTATATTATGTCTATGTTTTCACTTTCGCAGACTGGTTACATTGGGGCTCTGCCTCATCTGCTTATGACTATAGTGGTGCCTCTCGGAGGTTTGCTAGCTGATCACATACGGAAAAACGGTATCCTGTCCACAACTAGCGTCAGGAAGATTTTCAACTGCGGTGGTTTTGGCATGGAAGCCACGTTTTTCCTCGTGTTGGCCAATGCCCGCACACCACTCATGGCCACGATTGCCCTGACCTGCGGCGTGGCGTTCAGTGGGTTCGCCATTTCCGGTAAGCACATGAACTTATCCCTTCCCAATCTTACACGATCCTTGCCCGAATAATAACTGCAGTTAATGGAGAAACTGCGTGTGRAGCAATAAATAAACAAAAATATATTGACCGATAAAATCCATTTGAACCAAATTATACCCACCTCATATTATAGATGCACAGTTAATATGCACGATGATATTTTTTATTTGAATCATTTATAAGTATAACATGAATAGTTTTTAGAA